CCCCCGGAGAAACTTGAACGATTCGCATGAGAAATCTTAATACCTCAAAAATGTGTACAAGTATGAGCGTGTCTGTTAAGTTTAAACACATCACCTTATCGAGAGACAAAACATCAAGTCTTCCTCGCGTGATATAGTCTCGCGTATGCAATCCATCTTACTCTGTCCAGTACCCCTTTTGCGCTTATTTGGTAAATATGCAACGCCCGATTTGTTTCCAACAACATTGAATGATGACTACGAATAAATTTCCAATTCCTATTATCTTCACTGTTGTGTAATTGCGCTTTTGGCGGTATAAAATAATATGTATTACCCATGTCGTAGGTAAACATCGTTATTTGTTTCCATCGATCGAGGAGCAACATAAAGTGATGTATCATTATTACAAACGCAACAAATATTCAATGTCGCCCTTGTTTTATTGCACTTGCAGATGGCACCTCTTTCCCTTGCACAACTAACCAGCTTGGGTTTGCTGTTCTTGGTTGGTCTCTCCAACGCATACATAGAATCGGAACCTATTGACGAAGGCTTGTACAATTGTCTAGAAATGGAAACCCGGAATATGAGTGTGGAGGATTTTCCTGCTGCTGGAATAATGCACTCCTGTGTCCAGAGTTTTCTGGCATTAACAACTGATCTTAGATACCACTCCAATATCACCATAGAGGAAGTAGCATGGGTAGGCTCCCTTGTCCGGAAATACGCATCAAAACGTCACAAACGCCAAGCAGGGATACCTAGAATTCGACAGGAAATCAGACGAATCACCGATCAACAAAGAGGCGCTCTGTTTGAGGCGTTCAATGTTCTTAAACAGGTATACACGTATTACATTTAAACCAAGTCTAGTTTGTTTTCACTCCTGCTATCGTCAGGATTATATCTATATTATCCGTAAATTGAAATAATATCTAATAATGCATTAATTACTTATACATATATTTAAGTGATAGTAAGTGAAAAATCTGAAATTGTCTGAAATGTTTCAGTTATTGAAGTAATCTGTTCATGCATTTATGAAATATTGAAAAAGAATTGTATGAATTGTATGAGAGGGTGGGTGGATGGATAATGCTAACCGCCATGCAATTCTTGACTACCATGTTAAATTAAATAAAACTTCATATAATGTATGAACCGAAATTGTATGAAGCTGTAATAATAAATAGCATAGCAATTTGTATCACAAACATTTACTGTTCAATTAGTGAACAGGTCAATTTAGCAGGACCTGTAACACTGGCGATAACGAATGGATACACGATACACACAAAAAAAACCCAAGAAATCAAGAATGTGTCAGCATAACTATAATTCAAACTCAGAATCGAATAAACTAGGGAAAGCTATGATCAAAGGAACGATGCAAATGAAGACCTTTGAAAAAAATGGAAGGGTAATTTACATGTACATGGCGGTCGTCGATGAAACAGAAGACGCTTTCCCTTCCGGAACACAGTCTTATTATCTTTAAAAAAAAATTCAGGTGTCGACATGTAAATATATTTTTTAACATATTTTACTAGTCACCGTTTTTGAATTTTTGATGTATTTTTAAGGCTCTAATGTTGTTTTCAGAATGGGCGATATGACACACTGGCCTCGTTTCACCAGAACATGGCGATCACCTCGGCTCATAATGGTCCAAACTTCCTCGGCTGGCATAGGGTATACCTACTGGCGTAAGTGTAACTAGCTGTCTGTTTTGACATTTCTTGCACACGACTGATAATAATAAGATGTACGTGGAAAATGTTATTGCTTGAAATGATTATATTTATTTACAAAACATTGAATATCTTAAGTTTTGAATTTCAAAAATAAGGAAATAGCAAGTTAAAGGATCCCCGTACCACTATGAAAATTATAATTTTACATCTGAGACTGTATTTTGCTGGCATGCTTATACCATTGATAAATCATTTCTTTAAACAAATGTTGTGGGACGTTCACGAAAAAAGGTAGTTCTCTGGTACACTCACTTTAATGTAATATACAAATCGAAATTAAGAAAAGTTGCTGCACATACGCAAATCCACAGTGAAATTCGCCAGTGTGTTGCCTAGTAGGACCGGGATCATTGAGAAGCCATCAAGAAATAAGACTAATTTATATGGATAACAAATGGTTTTTTATCATATGTTTTGTTTAGATTGGAAGAAGCCCTGATGGAAGTCAACCCAAGAGTGACGTTGCCCTACTGGGACTCCACTCTGGACTTTGATATGAACGATCCGATCCAGTCTGCCGTTTGGACCTCACAGTTCTTTGGAAACGGTGACGGAGTGGTTAATACAGGACCATTCTCGAATTGGGTTGTTGAAGGAGGAGGTTTACTTACAAGAAATATAGGGTCATTTGGTACATCATTGATGCAGAAACGTCTCATCAACAACATCATCAACCCAAACAATAACGTAAGGTTTCATTGGCAGATAACTGTATGGTATGGCCAGCGTCCATGGCTTCGTCAGAACGTTCTTGAGCGTCAACACGACGGGGTGCATGCTTGGGTTGGTGGATTAATGAGGGGTTTGTCAACGTCGGCCCATGATCCGGTTTTCTTCTTTCATCATTGCTTTATTGATTACCTATGGGAACAATTCAGGTTGAAGCAGAGAAACTTGGGATTTGATTCTAGCAATGACTACTTACCAGACTTTTACCTCAGGGACAGACCAGCCCATTTTAGGAATCGTTTGATGGATGGTTTTCCCGACTACAGAAATATTGACGGTTACAGTGATAGGTTCACAAGAGATATCTACCAATACGAGCGCAGCCCAGTTTGTCCTGCATGTGGCTCCCCCTATCTGTTCTGTGATAACACCCGTGGGGTATGCGTATCAGCTGATAGTTCTGCTATGGGAGAGTCTAGATCCTCTGCAGCTGGCTTCGGCGGGGTGTCAGTGGCATCACTTGCCGCTCAGGCGCAGGGTCCGCTAGCACTTGGCGAGACGTTTACGTCATCGTTTGCAGATCCTAGAGCCAGGAACACGCCATTGCCTTCAGGGCCACGTGCTGATGGAGCCGGAAGTGCCTTTGGGGCTTTTACTGATGATGGCACGGGGACAGGAACTAATCTTGCCACTAATCTGTTACGTACATCATCCGCGAGAGGACAAGCAAACTCTAATATGAGGAGAGCTATGATGAATTCGATGAGTGGTAATCGAGGTCAGTCGACAGCCCAAATGTTCAGAGGACCTTTTAACATGAATCAGGGAATGTTTGGTCCGATTCAACTTTTACAGGGTAGACAGGCCGGTTTATCTCAACAAGTTCCCCAGAATGGAATGGGAACAATTGCTCACAATGGCATGCAAGCAAATGCACAGAACAGGATGCAAGCCATGACCCGAAACGGTATGACATCGATGTCTCAAAATGGTATGCCAACAATGGCACACAATAGTATGTCAGGAATGTCCCACAATAGTATGCCTATGATGTCACAGAACGGTAACCAAATGAATTCAGGCCATGGTGGATTTAACCCAAACCAGAATATGCCCCCACAAGCAATAGCTTTTCCATCAAATTCTGGTTTATCATCCGCAATAAACCAAGGTATCCAAAACACATTCACCTTAGATGGGGTCTCGGACGTTAATCGCTGGGCCTTCATGCCGGTAAGGGTAGTGTATCGCCGTCCGGAAGGATTAACATTCGACGGCAGAAACATCCGCCAAGGGCAAGTTGAAAATGGATTCGACATGTACAATCCTACAATCTACAGTCAGATGAAAAGATATATGCACAGAGGAGCACCAGCGACGTACCCCAAGTGCCCAAAGTACGGATCAGGAGCCGGTAAAATATTCATTGAGACTAATGGTATAAACTATGCAGGCACATTTAAAGACTATGCTATGATTGATGCGCGGCAACCAGTGACGGAATCCTACACGTATGTTGGTTTTAGGAACCCTTCTCTCGGAGCTAGCAGGACCTTTGTCCATGCGTATGACTCGTACGGTCGAGTGTGTCAGCCGAGATGCTTGGTTCGTCATTCTAACCCACCACGCTACGTCCCTTGTTCCGGCGCTATAAATTCAAATACTCGCACGCCTCGGATGTATGGCAATTCATTTGGCGAGGCAGTTCTCGGTCGGTGGGATTTCAAATCCGATTATTGCCCTCAGAGTTATAATGGAGAAGTGTTCATGACATTTTACTGTGATTATGCTAAAGGATGGCCATGGAGAGACTGCAATAAAAACATAAAGAAACCCTTGATTGTCAGAACTGTAAAACGTCTTCACGGGCAAAAGGCTTTAAGAGGAAACTGCAAATAAATTGTACATGGTCAGTCAAGACCGAGATACAAAGGTGATTGTACTATTGATTCCATGAACAAATCCACAAAAAAACATTTCACATATTGTATAAACAGTGTTTCTCCTCACTCATATTTATTTAGTACTTTTTTATGAAAATGCTTTTCTTACTGAAATAAAATCTTCTTTTATGATTTTATTCATCGTTTCTTTTTGTTAGCCATTCACGTCTTCATTTATATCAACTAAACGCATCTATCTGTTATTGTAAATGATAATATTGTTAATTTAATATGATACATGAGCAGAGTTACATTGAAAATATGACCAACATGAACCTTGCATGATTCCTAATAGAATATTTGGATTTACTTTCAAACATATCTTAAACATAATAATGAAAAACAACGAGCATAAGATCTTTCTTAAAAGGAATAAAGCGGGGAGTTAAGGTGATTTTCAATCATTTATTTTCGCCTGAAAAGGCATTTTCGAATTTTTCGGAGAAATTAAATCCCTTTGATTAAGAGCATTTTGTTTTCCATCGGGTCGTAATGTGTTAGTTAAGTACGCGATTCCGATAGTACATGGTGACACAATTGAGCTAAACTATTTAAGAATCATCATAGCAAACATAATAGAACTATGAAATTTTGTGCATTTTGCAAATTGCCAAATCAGATTTACTGCCCATCGGCAATGTGAGTCGTAAAACATTAACATTCCTGAAAGTGTATACATCAAACAAGGTTATAGATGTAAACATTAAATCGATAGCAAACAAACTGGTGGTTAAATATGTCATATCTTATTGTAAGGATCTATTGAATGTAAATAATGTTTTATCACATAATGTACTGTGTTATCCAGTGAATATACGCATGTCATATTTTTTGCGTATTATTTTACGCACTGCAGTCAAAATGGCGGCTTTTTACATTTCAAGGTTGTGTGAAAATTGTCGTTTTACACGAATAAATGCCACTAATCTTGATAATGTGATAAAAAAGATTTTCACTCGTTTTCATTTCATATGAAATTAATGAAACTCATCACGAATTTTTCCTTTTAGCTCGCTTTTAGTTTCGTAAATCTCATATGAAATGGAAACTCATGTAAGATCCTTTATATATTTATTGTACAGAAACTGTATCAAATGAGCTTTCAAAGACGGTGCATTATATATTCTGTCACGTACTTGTTGGAAATCAGCGCATTCAATCATAAAATTGACTTTTTAAGTAGTTGATCGTATGCGTGACTATAAAGTTGATCTTCCTACCGCAAAATGTAATCATGTGTGATGTATGGCCTAAGCGCAGTCGCGAGATGACAATGTCCTCTCTGTGTCTACACCATATGACGAGTCGGTCATCATTGACGGATTCTATTATAGGAATAATATATACCTACTGTGAATTCTGTTTGAATGAAAATCATCAGGTTAAATGTAAATTTATTCAGCAGGTATTCTGTGTACGTCTTACTTTGTTCCACATGTTCCCATTACAAACAATCCCACAAAATTGTAGAACATAACACATAATTCACAGTAGATTTATTTGATTATTTATGGTTTTGCGTTCTCGAAACAAATATGGGCATATGAAGAATGTAAATACGGATGATGGGGTCACTTGAAGGTCACTTCTAAGTGGCACTTTACCAAAATGTCATGACCCGGACACGGTAGCATAGCACTCCACCTGGTCACTTTATACTGACAATGGGCTAACCCATCTCTACAGCTAAGCACACAAAAATGAATGTCAGCCGGAGAACAGTTAGCCACAACTTGAGTTGTATTGGTTCGTCTTCGTCTGTAAGGGAACAGAACTCATAATCTTCCTCGTCTGAGAGTACGCATCACACCAAGATAATTAGCAAGGTATTGCCAAGTAAGGAAACGAAAAAGGAGAAAAATATATTTCAATCGGAACAACATATTTAGTTTTATGAATTTTGTATCCTTAGGGAGAGGGTACAAAAGTCATTTCCGCAGATCTCACACTGGTGTCTCAAGTTATGAATCACTCAGTGGTAATATATATCATATTCTGTTCTTACAAACGAGGACAAAAGGGTTGTTTCCCTTTCTTCATTTGCTGTAATGTTTCGTAATGTATTCATAGTTGCCTCCTATAAAGTAAATAATTATTTTTTAAATTACTTTAACCTGTCATATATATTGAATCATATCCAAAATGTATGTTTCCTTATTTTTCAGTATTGGTCCTACTAATTCTGTAGTTTATTTCTGTGTATTAGTGACACTAGATCTACATTTAATATTGCGTATCGGTCACACCAACTATATTTATTTCTATGTATGTGCCCCCACTTAAATGACAAGTTAATTTCGTAGTGTTGGTCCTACATGCTCTGTTATCCATTTCTTCTGTATTGGTTCCTCTTACTCTGTAGTTTATTTCTTTGTATTTGTATTCAGTAACTCTGATTTCTATTTCTATGTGTTGGTGCGACTAAATCTGTCGTTAGATTATTTAACTGTTAATCTTAAGTGAAGTCGTGTGTATTCGTCCAGCTGCCTTCGATTTACTTTTTATTTGTCTTTAAATCTGAAGTTCAGTTCAAATTATTGATCACTCAAAATCTGTTACGTCTATGTAATGGTCCCACTAACATTATTATACATAATTTCCATGTATTGGCTATCACTAATTTTTAAGTTAATTTTATATGTAGCGCTCCCATATTCTCTGTAGTAATTACACAAATATATTTAACTTGGTACCATTACAAGATTTATTACTAGCACTAATATTTAAATCGACGTGCGCTGGTTAACGTAGAACCGGATACGTTTTGATATTTATTATGTTTGTTGAACGCTTTTCGCGATATGATTCATGAGTCACAATGAATCATTCACAAAAAGCACAACTTTTGCTGGAAGGAGATACTTATTTTTTATGATATTATGTATTTAAAACGAGGACTGAAGGTGTCGTTAATACGTTCTAATATGAGACACTCCAAAGTTTTTTTCCAAAGTGAAATTTTCGGTACTTGGCTTGTAATACTGGATTGAAAGTAAATCTCTAAATGATTGAACGGAATAACTTAATGATAAAAAGGCTATTTTTTTTCTTCTACTTGTCAAACGACTCTTAAGACAAATACGTTCTATCATTTTCAATAACAATGTTTTTATTGTATCTTCAACAACATAATTATAATTATTATATAGTTACAAAGCTCAACTAGCCATTAAGAGCATTACGTCGTCAAATTCAAGGTCCGGACAGGGCACGAGTCATAAAATTGTCTTCTTTTGTCACATGTATTTCTGTTTTTTTCCCAAGAAGCAACAAGAGCATACCGACGTGTCAACAAAAATCTTAATGTAAACTCGGAATTGATAAAACTAGAGCAAACTATGAAAAAGGGAACATTATCAAAGGGGCGTTTGCAAAAGTACAAGGATAATAAAACCAGGTTTTCCGGAATGGTAAGCGTCTTTCACTTCATTGACGATATCCGCCATATAAATCTAGGTAAAAACCAAGTAATGTCACGTCCTGACACCGTACTCGGGCAGTGACAACAAAACCACAAGGAATTCTAATGAGTATTATTAGAAATGTGAACCTTTATTCCACACAATAATGATTGCTGGGCAAGGTCTTGAATAACCAAATAAATTGCTACTGCTTCATGTGAATACCGTAAGTAGGGGAAGTAGGGTATTACTCACAAGAAAGGAGAAGTTCACGATCAAAGATACGAAAGAAATCGCAAACTTATCTCTGTGGGTCATGTCTTAAGTAAAGATCGAGGAGAGCGGCTGCTGAAGTAGGAGGGTCTGGTGTGTCCCTGATTGCAAGCTCAGAGGGGGGGGGGGGG